AGAACGCAATTTCCAAAGGCATGGAAAGGAAACTTAAATTTTGATGCAGCCCCGTCTACCATCATCACTTGACTTCCTCTCCTTCGCTACCCTCTATCGAATTGAGGGGTTTCGTAGCTAATCCCTACTGATAGGCTTGGACTCCGCCGATATGGCGCAATCCTTGAGCCTCATCAGTTAAGAAGCCGGCAAAATCGCAAATCCATCCCGGCAAGACTCAATGGATGCACAACGAACAAGTTCAGTACCAGCCGATCCTACCTGCAAGGCCAGGAGATCGAGTGAGTCTCCTCCTACGTGAATCTCGGCAAAGCGGTTAACATTAACGATGTCCACACCCTTAGCCCCCCTTAGCAGGGGTTACGCCCACTAGTTAGTTGATGACTTGGGGAGCTGTTTGCTGTTGGCTTTTCATTTTGGAAGATCATTTCCCTTTTAGCGGCTGTATCTTCCAACTTGCCCATGTAATGCCTTATCAATCAAAACACTATGCTTGTTGGCATGATGGCGGCTATCGGGGTTAACACGTCCGAACAACGTCTTTCTTTACCGTCGCTCATCCATGGTCGAAAATGAAAGGGCAATCAAAGGGGTACTATTTTGCTTATTTTTGACGGATTTCTTTGCTTTTTTCGCCATTGGCGTACTATTGAGCACCCCACGTCCCCTCTAACCCCTTCAGGATCTATCGTAATCGCTGCCTTCAAACACCTTGTGGAAGCCATTCCCGGAAGTGGCCGGTCATGTGGCTAGACTCACTGATGATTGCTATGCCAAGAACCTCTCACACGGCCAACTGTGGCGCAGAAGAGCTCGAAGCAGAACGGCTTGGAAATGTGCAACCTGCGTTTCTGGTGTGCCCGAGGCGAGTAGCGGTCGAGGAGAAAAAGCAAATCCACCCGGGAAAGCTCCCCTCCCCCATGAAGGGGTCCTCTGCTCATTTGTATCATGCTTAGTACGCCTCAGACACTGCTAATTCCACAACTTTTGTGCTCTCTAACCGTTTCGTAACCGAGTGTGAATTTTTGTGAAAGAAGTTCCCATTCGAGGAACCCTCTACTGTTGGGTCTTCTTAACTCTACCTTGTAACCCGTTGGAAACATTTTTTGGTCAGAGCTACCCTTCAATAGTTTTAGGAGTCTTTACCCAGGCGCCGTTGATTTCGGCACATGCCCAGTTCATCCGTGAGCAGGATTCGCACGGCTGATGTAGTCTCCGTACATGGTCATCGGTTCACCTTTCCCAAGCTTGAACCGCTCCGCTCCCTTAAGGAGAAGCTTCATACAATATCGAGTCAGTTCAACACGACGACCATGCGCATCGAATTATTTTGGCCGACACGTGGCGTACAAGGTCAGTCCAACTGTATCTTCAGTGATCCGATAGAAGAAGTATTGCACGACATTGATCCTCGGACGCGTATGACGGTACACTTGCTACTGTTATTCCACTTCTCATAATTCTTCAACGAAAGATGTCGATGTTCGTCTTGAGAAAGCTCATATTTCTTTTGAGATTTTGTGAGAATGTTGGCCAAAGTCGCGTTTTGGGGTTTATATACCTAGAGACTATTAGCCAGTTATTGTGTTAAAATGAACCGTAACTCGGTGGTGAGAACGGCTGTGCCCGCGCCTCCAAATCGCTTAGTACTTCCATAAGCAGCATATTCCCAAAGCGTAAGTACGGTTCTCGAGGACACAAATGCTTGTTTCTTTATGTTCCCCCTATCAATTACTCCTACTGCTAGTTTTCACGAGTTCATGGGTTTGACAACGGGTGCCAGACATTTTAGCATCCAACAAATGCGATATCTGTATTTAATGAGGCGAACTACCCGATGGAGAACTCTCTAGCTGAATCTTCGTCCATTTCCAAAATTTCGCTGAAAAATCCAGCTCAGTTTCTTTGGAAAAGGGGCAGCAAAAGGTAATAGTGCCGAGAAACCTTCTGAGAAACAATTGTCCACTCACTTGCAGTAGCAGTGCTGTGTTTCTGATGTTGATTTGATAGCTATTTCTTCACCTACCTCTTCAGGAGCATGCCGCGGATATTTGCCACGCCATTTGTTGGGTGATCCCCGGTTTATCCCGCCTTCTATTACCACGAATTATCAACTGATTTGTTGCCGCCGACAGCGCGATGCAGTTCTGTGAACACTTCAGGTAAAATAATACGAATCATATCGATACACCTGACATAAACATCAAAAACATGATCTTTTACAGACATGATTTCCCTTGGGCAGACCCTGTCTGCTGTCTTTTATTGTCGGTGGCGGTATTTTCGACAATGTGGCCTTTATCCACGTATACCGGCATGATTCTATTGCAGACAGCACCTCCTCATCTTCTCAATCAAATTGACAGGTATGCTTCAAAATCTTTCATGTTTTATCTTCTCTTTGATGTATTTTTGCAAGAGTATTTTTTTAACGACGCTCTTGTACTGTCCTTTAAATCAGCAGTTTTTAACTGATAACTGAAGCACTTGACTGCTTTACTGTAGCGGTCAACAATGGCTTACAGGCACCGGAGTCAGCGGACGAAACGCCGGTGGTTCAATGGTAAAATGTTCACGTGCCACTTGGGTGGCCCGAGTCCTTTTCCCGGCTGATGCGCCAGAATATATTATCCGATTATCAGCCATCTTGTCTGATAGTTTAAGCTCTGCAAAAGTGAAAAAGCTAGACTCACAAGCATTTGAGCCAGCGCGTGAGCCATGATGGGTGTTGCTGACTTTTCGACCCCCTTTTCCTTTTTATTTTCTCAATGTTGCTTCTCAAGTCCCGGCACGCTTTGTGACGTGCTGCCGCTGTTTTCCTCTAGTTATATAAAACACGTAACTTCACAGTAGCGAGTTGATACTGCGTTTATAGACGTTCCATGCCCAGGGTTTTCTTTTGGTCTACCTTCAGTTTCAATGAAGCATGCTTTTAGATGTATTTCTGAAGCGTCAACTATCGACGGTGTTCTGGAAATACGCTCACGTCACTTTTGGCAACTGGATTTCGGGCAGCTAGTTAGTCCTTCATTAAGTACTTATTTTCATTTTTGTTCCCATTCAAATGATATAAAATTCGATAACACGCAACTCTTTACAGGTTGGAACTGTGGACGTGCGAGTTCGAAGGGACGCAGACGAACAAAACGTACTAACTCTTGTCACTGATAAGATGTCATCTGTTGTAAGCATGCTCACAGTTCAGGTCAGCAAGTTATTTTGAATGCTTCTATTGGATTCACTCGTCTAGCAGTTCTGCATTTCAAGCGTGTTTCCCTTTTAGATTGTTAAAGACGCTGCATGGCACACGGTTGAGGGAACGAATCCGGTTAGTCTTTTCGTTTTTAGTTCCAGTCAGCCAACGAACGAATTATTTCTTTCGAATGCTAGGTCATATTTTTCATATTCAGGGTCACGGGCATACGTATGGTGACCCACATGTTCATGGAGATAACCACAGTCACGATCATTCCCATGACCAGAGTGGTGGAAATACGGCATCACTATGACCATGTCTAGGGAATTACGTGTCATTCACTGATCACTGGTCAAAGTAGTTTTGGTTTCTTATATCAATGCCGACTTTTGTGAAACGTAATTTTTTAATCCGTATTGAGTACACAGTACTTATTTCTGATGACGGGCCATAGTTCCACTGGCCGGTTCGCATGGATCTAATCCTCAAATGGACCAGTATAATGCAGCTTACGGTGTAGCTGGTTATGGAAATCCAGCAAGCGCACAACAGGGATACAGTAGCCCTCCAGTTTTTAGCCCTTCCCATGGTCACAGCCACGATGGCGTAACCTATCATTGATAATCGCTAACAATGTTAGCTATTGACAGCTAGTTCAAAGTTCTGTATGAGAAATTATGACTTGATTGTTTGTAAAAAGGGTTGGAATTTTGTTTGCAAAGCAAAGCGTTACTTTCACATTTGCGACGAATGATACAATTTTAATTTAATTTTTCTACCTTCTATAGGATTGTTTGCTGAGTTTTGTCTTCCTTCTGTGCTATTCGTTATCTACTGTGATGTTTTCGTTTCCAAAGGGTGGTCTGTTATTCTGTTTTCATTTAATTGATTGATTTGACCTTGATAAAATCGAGAACAAAGAATCAGTTATGCTTTTGAGTTCCATCTTTTTTGAGTTACAGAACTCATCTATCCGATACGCATTCTCTTCTCGATAAATTTGTGTTGATGGAGTGTAGCCTATAGTGAACCGTTCGCAGTGTTTGTATAGTTGTAAGTAGTCGTTATGGGCATGAGTAGACTTTTCATTGCTTTACCTAGTACACAAGAACTGAACATTATTTTTTTTATTTTTCTTTAACTTTTCAATTGCTACAAGCGCTTAAATATCTACTGCGTATTCGATTCGTTTTGGTCTATACTTCCGGCTTGGTACATATTACTCCTGAAGGGGCATACGATTTTGTTCAGGCGACTTTCCTTGTGAAAAGCCATATATTTGAAAAGCGCTGTCTCAAACTCTGACGGTGATCTAATGTGCTTCACAGCAGTATCACCCTCTTGAAGGTGTGTCCAGTTCCTTCCTGAAGACACCCTGCACGAACTCAGTCTAAGTTGTGTTCCTTCACAAGAAGTGAGGCAAACGCGGCAAAGTGGGGCTGCCATCAGTGAAGACAAAGTAAAATCTATTGAAACCCTAAAACTGAAACACGATTTATTTCTCTACGGACTGTACTTATGCATTGCACATGTAGCCGGGAGAGACCTTAGGCGAGTAGAGCTATGTGATGCGTATGGGGCTCGCACGTCGATTGGGGAATGCGTGGAAGCGGTATGGTCTTAAAGGCGCTGAGCCTTTGTTCGCTGGACGACGAGAATTGATATATTATCGTGTTTAAGTTGGACAGCTCTATAGTACTACCCTCACTGAAGTTTTGGTCTCTCCCTGAACTCATCTCAGAATGTGATTTCATAATGAAGATAACGTAGGAGTGATAATCTTGGGCCGTTTCTTGTGCTATTAAATTGTAAGAGAAATGGGATGATAATATTTGTTGTGTACGGCCTCCTTGTTTGTGAATACTCGATTTCGGCTTCTGTATTTAGTGATGAGTTTTGACGTTATTTGATGAATAGCTTACCAGATGAATCGCGTGTTCTTTCGTGCCGCTCACACAGCGGCTGCTCGAAGAGCTCTCTTGGAGAAGATCATAAGAGTGGATCACGCTGGCGAACTTGGAGCCGATCGCATTTATGCTGGGCAAATGGCTGTTCTTAAAGGTAGGTCTTTCAGGATTGTGTCTATAGACTTGACAAATCTTTTCACGTCGCTATCTCACTCTGCGCGCTGACTTGCATCACCAATGGCAGGTAATTACGCTCTCCGAAACGCTTGAGAAAATTTCGGCTGAATTGAAAGAGTAAGGGTCGTCAGCTACGCAATGTAGAGGCATTGGTGGCTACTAGTATCGGTATTTGTTCATGCAAGCCATGTTTTGCTGCAAGGCTCAGCAGGTTCAACAAACCTCTATCAACAAAGTGAGGATCTGTGAGTTTGATATTGATTAACAATTCTATTCAGGTTCTCCTGTTGGCACTGGGTGAAGAAATGTTGGTGAATCAAGACAAGGTAACACTGCATCAATGGAGACTTGCGCGCTAATGAGTCCCGCTCACAGTTTTCATCCTCAATTTTCAGCCTCGCCGCTTAGGCTTTAGGTCGTTAACTATTTAGAATCCGTTGTGCCATCAGCATCTATTCTATCAAGCAGCTGAGCTTACATACCACATCGAATGAATTGTTTTACTTTTTCAATACGGTGTCTGGCACGCTTCTCGCAAGGATGGGGCCAATGGCATGTCGGTTGTCTGTAGAATAGTATATCGGGCAGCATTACAATGTATCCATTTGAAAGTATTCTGTTATTATCGGATGATCGAGGACCAATATTGCAATAATTCCATTGCAAATAATGCTGAGATCCCGAGCTCACATAATCATCTCGTCCGATTGACGAACTGCGAATGATGAACTAGTAAATATGATAATGGATCAAACACGACGGACCCAAGGTACAGTAGGTTTCCAACAGATTTTCTTTTTGTGTATGGAATGAAGTGGTCCGTCATGCGGTCCGTCAATCACATGCGAATAGATCGACGACAGCTTGACCATTTCGAAAAGCTGTTGCAGTTCTGGAGAGGCTGTTTGCGAGTCTTATGTTGGATTCAATCATTTCTACGTACCGAGGCAGTGTTTCAAAAATTACTGGATCTATTTAAGGCACCGATGTACGACGTTCTGAAATGGGTGATTCAAACCGGTTGTAAAGGCGCAATTTTCATTGCAGAAAAGATTTGATCGCGTTAGGTTTTTTTTAGATTGCACTAGGTTTATGTTGTTATTTGCTAAGATTTCTTTTTATCGTTCATCTTGGGCTAGGCTTAGAGTATCGATCTCGTTTTCTGTATATAATAACTTCATTCCTGTCATTGTGCCATGTGGTTTCAGTCCGCAGCCGCTGGTTCTGTTGGCTTGAAGCCCGTGGCATTGATGTATACTACGAGCTGTTTTGTATAGAAGCTTAGACAAGAGTGAGAATTTTAAGAACATCTCAGACACATAATTAGGAATTATTACACCTAAAGTAGAATCATTAATAGGGTGTGGTTCACTAGGAAAGAAAGCGACTTTTTTCGCTTCTCGCACGCGACACTTTTCGCTCTCGCAGCGCACTTCGCCTTCGGACCTTAGTCACTCGCTGAATCATGTTGGACCATTGGGTTCTGAGCGAAAAAAGTTTTGTGTGGAAAGCGAAATAGTCGCTTTTGTGTCCAAGTGACCAAATATCATGTGTGCATTCACTCGTGATTTCTGCGTATTTTCTCTAGAAGTGAATACTCTATATCCGAGCGATTACAAGCTAAAGGCAGTGCAAAAATCGATGGTAGCCAGGCAGTCACCTGTCGCTGACGTCGTTCATTGGTTGGAAGGGCGTTGAAATAGCGGTCTTACTACCCTGCGCTGCGATGAGGATTTTAGTCCGCAATGACACTCGATGCCGTCTCTAAACTCGCTCTGTCCTCAGCAATCTTGTCACACTTGCCCTTAACTGTCCGAACGCAATCTTCCTATAGAATCTATAACCACGAGCTTTTGCCACTGCTTGCCGACATGCAATTGAATCGCGTTTGTATAGACTCACGCCTATTAATAGTGGGAGTTTCCGAAGAACTGTGAAGAACACTTGCGATCATGATCGATAGGACTGCATCTGTACGGTGCTTTCGTCGACAAAAACCCTACTATTTTGCAAGAAGAGACAGTCTGAGAAAATAGAAAAGACGGGTGGGTGCGGTCATACTTCGCGACGTCTTGAATGCTTGTGAGGAGTAGATACTATCGATCGTGCAACATGGAAACTGCGACTCCTGCAACAAGACAGTGGTCTTGTCATACGGACTTTGCAAACGCAGTGTTATGCAGTGGCAAAGAATGATTCGTACCCTTAAGTAATCCATCACCTGCTAATGTTCCAGGATGTGCGAAAGCGCATCAATCCTCAACTCAGAGTAAACGAAATCTATCGTAAGAAAATAGAACGAGGTAAGCTATCTTTGTGATGTATAACCCATTCGTATAATGTACCAGGGAGTCTATAGTGTATGTGGTGTGGTACACAAGTGGCGATAACCTAGTCGACTACTATCGCACTTTGGTTGTAACCGTTTTGCGTCCTTTAAGCGGACGTTGGATAACACATATATTTTGGTGGAAGCCCTCCTTAATTTCATTCTTTCTTTTTTTCTTTATTGGATGAACTCTCTAATCATCTTTAATTCTTCAATTCTAGGATGGTGCTAAACCTTACCCCAGAACCGCTTCGTAGGAAAGCACCGCCATTTCAAGAGGTAGAGCTGCGTCGACTGATTGCTATGTATAGCGCTAACTATTCAAGATACGCCAAGCTTCCACCCGTATTAAAGTTAAGCATTAATACATTTTGGTTAGTGGATTTATATTTGTCACAATCCCCTTTTCGTTTCAAATGCACCCATTTTCCTCTCGCTTCTTTTTTTTTAAGTCGTTTTAGTGCTTAAGCCTACTCCTGTACTCTGGCTTAATTTCTAATTGGTCTGGAGAACCGTATAATTCTTAGCACAATTTTGGCTATTGGGTTATCTCATAAGTGACGTCATTTTTATACATGAAGTTTTTCCTTCACAAACTCCACCTTTTTTCATCACGTCATATACCGTTCGAAATAAACTGCTCTATGAATATTAGCACTTTGCGGCTTGTTTCGAAGGAAAACATATTTTTTTGCCATTTGTCTAGAAATGTATTCACTTGGAATTCTCATTTTTCACTTACATGATGAAATGAGAAGAAAAAGAGCAATGAAGTGAGCTGTCGATTTCGTAATGCTTAGATAACTTATGCTAAACTTAAGCATATTCGACCATACGGCGAACCGCGTCGTTCTCAATATGTTGTGGTGTGGTCCATAGAATCAGTGTGAACTATTTGCGAAGGTCGCGCAAGCGCGAGAAAAAAGGTTGACTTGGGTGAGGCGCGCAACCGCGTCACACTGCCGTCGATGTGTTGTCAGTGGTTTTGCGGAGAAGTCAAATCTGAAAAAGAATGACATGACGCGCTGAACAACCTATTCGGAGATGTTTAAAGGGGGAGGGGTTGTTCGCTTGGTTCACTAGGATAGAAAGTCACTTTTTTGCGTTTTTGCAGCACGAAACTTTTTTGCTGCAGGAATTCCAGGTCCGTCATGATTGGGACTGGACCTGTGGTTCTTTCTGCGAAAAAGTTTCGCGCTGCGAAAAGC